GCACCCAACCTGTAATATAACTGCCCCCGAACGTCGTGCGTCGTCACCACCACTATACCATCATTATCATCTCCATCGTCCGTCCACCGTCGTCTCCTTGCGGGGCTCTTCGTCAAGAGCGCCCCGAGAGGGCCGGGCGCGGGGCAGATTGAGGAGCCTGGCTAGGGATCTAATTTCAACAGCAATCTCCTCTTTTTTTTACCAACATGCTGCTCGGGCCCCGGTCCAAGGCTTAGGCCTGGGTCCCGTGTTTCAATTCACTCCCTGGACTGAAAAGCTTAGGTCTGAGAGGGAGTAGAAAAAAAAAGAAGAAAAGAGAGACAGGCGCTGTCACTTCAAGGGCGTGAGAGGGGGAAAGCTTTCCAGAAAGGCCCGCGGCGACACCACGACAGGCCCGAAGTACCCCGGAGAAAGGGACCGATGGCCGGTATAAGGCTGGATTGACACACGGTAGAAACTATACTGTCATTGATGAGTGTGAATGCAGGGGCAAAACTTAAAAGCAAAATACAAACCGAGAGAGTATTTTGGTTTTAAAGGGCCTTCCACATTCTAAATACACTTCTGTCTTAAACCCTGAGATAGCGAACGGCTGGGTTTTCATGATCAGCTATGTTAGGGGACAGGTCTTTGTTTCCGTATCTCGATCATTTTGAGAGATGTGCTTTAAATATGACTACAAGAAAATCCAGTGTCATTTCATTATGTATTCACTGTATCCCACAATGGCATTTGGTCTAAAATGTTTTTGTTTCACATTGCTGGCAAATGTGTTATTGTTCGTGAGTCGTTTCGACGACGTTTTGGTCCCTTTATCGTAAACTTTACACTCTAAAATGTTCGGGTCAGATTGACCCAGAATTGGGTCCTATTCGGTATAACCCTTTTCCGGGTCAAATTAGGACCCAGAAAGGGTCAAATATGATCCGAAAGTGGGTCATATTTTGACCCAGAAAAGGGTCCTACCGAAGGGGACCCAATTCTGGGTCAATCTGACCCTGAAGTTTTTAGAATGTACTGAGATTTTGATACTCATAACACAAGGAATAGCAGTGGATTGATCCAAGTATATAATCAACATAAATTTCACTGAGTTTATTGTTTTCAGCTGACTAAAATGATGTATAAACTGTCTGCAGTTGTTCTCAGTTAAAGCAGCACCATACACCTGTAAGGATTGGTTTGTAAGATTGGTCTCCTGAGAATTGCTTATTTCGTTCAATAGAGGGCGGCCTTCATCAGTGTTGTCTTTCAATTAAAAAATGGGGTAAATCAAAAGTCTTTTTAAAACTAGAGTGCTTCTTTTCCAGCAGGACTAATGCATTAATAATTCTGTTTTGTTGTCTATTTTAAAGCGTGTATATTATGTTATTAAGGCCTCTGGTTCCTTTTATCAACGATGACGCTCTCCCAGTACACATGTATCTCAAATGTGTTGAAGCATCTTTTGTTTAGTGTATATCAGTGCTCTTGTATTCGATTTAGATGTGGGTAAGAACATTTCTGGAACAGAAAGAAACATAAGTTTGTCTTCCGAGTTTACAAAATTTCATTTGCTTTTTTTTTGAGCAAGTCGTCATTATTTTGATAAATGTCACTTGGTAGGCCTAGCAACATCAAAAACTTAAAAACTTGTCTTGTGAAATCGTATGTTCGGCTAGTAGAACAGCAAACACGTTCAAAAATATCAAACTTAACTAGTAATTTTAAAGTCATCTTCAGGAGAAGTATGAATGCTCAGAGTTTTATCTGTTATAGTGTAAGTTTTCGAGTGACATCAGACGGGCCGCCACCATTAATGCATGAAAACGAATAACTACCTAGAACACACAAAAAACTGTATCTTGATGGACAGAGCCAGTAGACGCAGTGCCTAGTGTGAGAGAGTGTTACAAGAGTAGTTAGTTTGCTGCCACCAACTGTCGAGAAGGTATCCAGTTACTTCATTGTTCTTTGCGAAGACAAATCAGTGTAAAGTAGCCGTATGATCAGACATTTTTGCCGTGCTGTATGACGCACACAGCCCGATCAGCCCGCCGGAATTATTACCGACTGTCCATCTGCCGTCTGTCCATCGCAGGCCCAACGGGGCGACGGATGAGCAAAGCAAACACGCTAACGACGGTACAACGAGCCCCTAATCGCCAATTAATATTACTTTCCTCTCAGTTATTATCAGCCACCACCCACACACACACGTATGTACAGGCCTATCGCTTTTAACACGGTGGGCCGAGAACATGGAAAGACGTTTTGCAAGACTGAAGTTTCAGCGTAACTCGAGATGCGATCCGCGCTTGCTACTCTGCCCACTGACCACCTGCTGTGCAATAAAGCGGCCGCCCGAATCCCCGTATCTTGGGGTCCTCGGGATTTACCTTTAAGAAAAATGATACCGACGCTCCCCTTTTGCCTCTTGTCACTGTATATTCATAATCGTGCAAAGAAAAGTGTCCAGCATACGTCGACTGAGACAAGAGCGTACGGCGAGCATACGGCTGACAGCTTTCCATGCTGTCACCCTGGGCTGAATCAAATACAATATCGGTTTTTTGTATTTTTAGGACTTGAAAATGTGAATAATTCATTAAAAGGAGAGGAGTAGTTCGCCAGTGGAACGATGTATTGATTGATTTTGTATCTGGAGCAATGATTTATCTCACAAAGAAAAAGGTAAAACGTTTTTGTGATCAAACTTATAATTCGATTTGGCCAGTTTGACTACTAATTGATCAAAGCTTCTCGGTGGCATGAACCTACTTACGGTTGAGCAAAAATTGTCGGAATTCAAAAAATCGATTAATATACGGCATGAAAAGAGCCAAGCTGGCAAGAGGAGGGGTTGGGGGCGCTAATCCGTGCAAAATATTGACAGTCGCCACGTTCAGAACCCCCCCCCCACTGTGAGTAGTTGCTGGATACTCGTCGCTGCTTATTGCTGTAAGATGCGGATAAGAAAGGAGGGACGAGTGATCTGAATATCACCTGCACGAGACTGAATCCGAATGAGATTACCGGAAAGAGGGATGCACATGATGTAAAAGTTCCCCGAACTGTCCACCCCCAGCAAAAATATGTTTTAATAAGCAAATGCCTTCGAGAATTTATATATTTATGTAATCATGCGTTCTTTTAAAGGTCATAATATTGACATAGGTGTTTTACAGGTCAACCTCTCCCACCAAGAAGGGGGTTAAAGGCCATCAACCGTATCATTTCTCTGGACTTAATGTATCACTCGCGGCAACAACCAACACTGGGCGCTAATCGCGTGATTGTCAGCCAACGACTCAACGGATGTACGCCCGTCAGGAGTCAGCCGGCGCCTGGCCTATCACTGTTTGTTCCACTCCTTTTTGACAATGTCTAAAAAAAAAAAAGGATGAACTTTTGGGCTGACGACAGGGGATTTAGCTGTTCATATTTAGACGGGTCTTTGTGGGAGAATTTCTTGCCTACTTGTCGCCTCCTACAAGGCTTCTTCTTGATACACGCTGCAACAAAGGTTGCCGCTGGAATGTTGGAAGGAAAATTAAATCTAACCTTCTATGATTTGTGATTGTACTATTTAAAGACTTCCTGGAACTAAATGATAAAGCGATATCTACCACTCTCAGGTGACGAGTTCATCGAATGAAAATAAGCAAGTCACACGGCCAGGCGTAAAGATAGAAATTAAAATTTAGAATCGTGTATATCAGTAATTGTAGACCATACTTGCTTTGGACGAATGCGAGTACGCACTATTTACCGCAACCAGAGTAGGAACTCTACACGGCCAAGTGTATGAAGCCAGATTATGATATGTACATGTACATGTGACTGTGGGTGCAATAGGCCACTGGGGAAAAATTGAACCAACTGCGGCGAAAGCGCCCTCTGCGAATTATCAGGCGATGCACCAGGTAATCTCCGCCTTATACTCTTTTATTTAAGTATTTCTAAGCAACAGAACTTGGTACCAGCAACCACACCCATCCCCCAAAACACCTTTTGCAAGGAAACAAATTTCTTAGTCTAAAGTAAACAAGTCGCTGCCTTCTTTTGCAACGAATACGTCTGAGCTGCCAAATAGATGAAAATGCCTTAATTTATTATCAATATCATTCACTATAACAACTCACAACGGTCACCTGACCCCCATCTTGGAAACTGAGAAACATTTTTGCCACATATCAGCGCAAAGGAATTATGCAACAGTAATACCGACCACACAAGGTACAGTAGCCTCAACTCCTCTACCTCTAGCCTCTCCCACACGACACCAGTACCCCTTTGCCGGCTCCCGGCCAGCATTCCGCGGTGCGACCACTGCCTCCTTGGACCATCTACCATCGTTGATGAGCAGTTTCCAACCCTCCCCCCGGTCGTCAGGGAGATGTTGGAATTTTGTTTTGACACAATGTCCAGGGATAACAAACAAGCAACATTATGTACAGGGCTTACGTACCGATGGATCTGAGCAGCAAACATTTGAAAATATTGTGAACCGAGGGCGCCTCTTAAGTTCATGTTTAATCAACAAGGTCCAGTTAAACGCAGCCAGCCATTCCACGTTTCGTTTTACATTAAAAAAAAGCAGAGACATTAAAGTGGCAACTTTGGACGACCTTTTTCAAATGTCTGCTTTTTGCCTACTCCTTTTACCTTTTTGACCGTTTGTCTAGATTCTGAAACGGCTCGACCACGTGGAGAGGCCATGCAACCCTCCCAAAAAGAGAAAATAAAATCAAAACGATGCCAAATGACACAAGTCAACTTGGTTAAATGGACACTCCGTCCCTGGTGACATAGCTAAGACTTCTCGGGGGGCAGAGTACTGGCACACTACGGAGGCCTGTTTTCACAGAGGACATAATTCCATGTCACCTCCACCGGCCCCCTCTCCAACAGTTCCCGGCTCTATATGCCAACGCCCTCTATCATTGCACTTTACAAAAGACTGGTTCCCTGTAAACAATCTTTGCCTAAATGAGAGCGAAAGCGACAAGGAACCCGTTTGAATGCTTTGGCTGCGGCTTGATGTTGCATTACTCTACAGGTAGTGGCTATAGGCACTGCCGTAGAGATGTGTGTATTTTCCAGCCGCAGCCAAACAAATCAAACACAACCAGTGAACGGTGTGAAGTCTGAATTCGGGTAAATATTTCATTTTCAGGATTATAACATAATTACGGGAGTAAAAATTGCAAAATCACAATAGTATATCAGCCCTAACAGTCCCAAATCCTCCAGTCTCAATACGATTTTACGTACACCCTTGGGGTTGAGTTACGCACAGGAAGAGCCAGCTACTGTCTGAGCTAGCTACTTTGTCATCGTAGAATTCCCTACAGTGACCTATTGGCTATCAGAAAGCAAAAACTAATTTTGGATTTTTGCCTTGCCCGAAGTGTATTTTGTATAGGCCTACTCAGTGTATGCCCCCAAAGGCTTGTGAAAAAACCACAAGTGTACTCGGGTGGGACTCGAACCCACGACCTCCTACTAATAGTAATACACATCAGGCCTATCAGGTGGGGCAAAATCCAAATTAATTCCATCTCCCTGGCGCAAATACTAAATAGACTGAAATAGTTGTTCGCGGTACCCGCTGCTAGTGCTACATCTGATTAGAACCAGCCAGCACCGCACCGGCAAGCTTGGTGGTCAAGTGGTTAAGATGTCTGCACTAGTTAGCAGGAAGTTGTGGGTTCAAGTCCCACCTGATTATGCTTGTGGTTTTTTCACAAGCCTTCGGTGGCATACACCGAGTATACAGTGTTTAAATACACGTCAGGCAGGGCAAAAATCCAACATTAATTCTATCTCCCCGGCGCAAATCCATCTTTGAAAAGAAAGCAAAAACATGTCCAGAAAAGTTCAATTTAGGAAGGAAAAACACCAAGTTGTTTACATAGAAAACACTTAAAAATTTTCAGACCAGTCTCATAGGGTTTGTGCACGGGATGTCGAGTGGCATCCGTATATATGCAACTCTTTCCACCCATTTTTATAGTGGTGCTTTCTTTGCCTCTCATCTTGGCCATGTCAGCGGCTGAGGTTAGTCTCAGGGTATGATTTCCAGCATGTCCAGCTCAGTCCACTGTGGACTGGGTTTTCAGTCCCTGCTTGATTCCGTGGATTTTACCCGTGACTATTCTTCTGGGGTTCCACTCCTAGAGTATCAGACATTATGAGTTACAGTATCTTTTGGGCTCTTTTGAGCAGTCAACAAGAAATGCTTAATTGTTTCATTGACAGGAACCACAATGTTAACTAGAAATAACTGGCGATTCTTCCAGTCTTGGTTGGAGGTTGCTCGCCAGCACAACACACTGCCACAGTGCCTCAGACGCAGATCATCCAGAGCCCAATCTCTTTCACCGTTTCCACAAACTGAAATCGTGCCACAAATCAGAAAACTCTCCACTGCAGTGTTCTCAAGCAGCTGTGTCTTACAGTCACCGAGATTGAAATCGGGCCGGCTGAGATGTGACACTGTCCTGGCAAGTCGACTGAAGACTTTGCTATGTCGGCACGACGGCCAAATTTATTCTACTGTCGGATTCAGGACATCGCCCCCTCGTCAGGCCATCCCTCCATTACTTGTTCTCTTATTTGTGAAGCCAATTGCAAAGTTGACAGCTATTTTAAGTGGACGGTGAGTCACTCCTTGATTCCAAAGAGAATTGCCGTTCATTGTTTTTACCACTGCAGAATGAGTTGACAGCGAAGATGAAATATCCATAAACATTTCTCAACATCTGGCAACACATACCTATGTCAGAAAGGCCTTACAAAATTTGGAAACACCTAGCCCAAAAGAGTTTGAATAAAATGGTGCAAATATGGACTCAAACCTGAGGGGAATAAGGTTTCTGTCTCACCAGTTGAATCATCCTCCCCCCCACTTTCTCATGGTGAAAAAAAATTTATGTGGATTGTGAATAATTTTTCAGACTTCTCCACAGCCAAAATGTAAAATAGCAGGCAAAAAGGAAGAATTTTTTTTTTATGTCATAAATTTGCCATTTACATAAGGTCATACTGGAGCAAAACACATTATTACTGATCTTGAACATCGCCCTCAAGCGTCATTTTGTTCTTGAAATGGTGGAATGGGATAAGGTTACACTAACTGATTGAAAAATGGCTGTAAATTACAGTATTTTGAGACGACCCAGCCAATGATAGATTAAAGTTGCACCATTGACCTTTTCATGCCTAAGCAAACGTGCAGACTTGGGAACTGAAATGGCTTCTTACCTAAAATTGTCACAACTCACCCTGTATTGTACATGTACATGTCTGCTGTTGCTATCGCTAGGGGCTTTCCAGAGCTACAGTGATGCTCAAATTTGTCTCTGTAGAATTCCAAAATTGTCCATGCATGTCCAGTCTTCAGTGCTAGAGCGACATCTACCCCCCCCATCTACCACTGTTGACAATCTTTGACCAGTTGTTGAAGATCTTTGCAACCAGTGTTCCTAGTCTTCTTATTTTTGCCCCATGCTGGCAAAGAGAATGCCAACCTCCAAATGCGACCTGGCATGAAGTGGCATTCCACGCTTTCCTTTTTTGAGGGTTCAAAGTCAAAATATTGAAGTGGAGGTCAGTGTTGTCATTTTGTAATATTTGGAAAGAGTAATCCGTCTGTTTAATTCCAATTTTTTTTCCCAGGATCAGATATTTAAAAATGACATTTTCTCAGCAATTTCGATGACAGCATCATTCCTGCCTGGTCAGAAATATTGAAACAATGTCAGAAACAAAGACGCAAAGCTGCCAGAATAATGTCACATTGTCACCTTATACTTTTACCCAAGTGTTCCATGGACATACCTTTGGAAAGCTCTCCTTTTGCTGTTTTTAAAAATGCCAATATCGCAATTTCTGAAAATTCCAACTTTCAGCTCACTTTGTGGTGATAGGTCACATATGCATGTATGGTCTTCACATGAAATCCTGACTTCTGAAGTTCATTTTGGATTGCTGAGGTTGCTCATTGGTCACAAACTTGACGTTCACTTAGTGAAGAACGACCAAATTTGAGAGATGCTTGCTAATGCCCTCACAGTACCTTCCGAAACTGGTGGAGAGCTCTACCCCACAACAAGCGGCAGTACTTCTATGAGTCCCTGGGCAGGCACAAGTACAAGATCCTGGCAACGCTGCTGGGGCTGACGGGTGTCTGCTCGGTCTACTACTACAGTCACTTGCAGACAACGCCGTTCACCAACAGGAAGCGCTTCATTGCCTTCACGGATAGCCAGTTTAAGAAGATTGCCGCCTCTGAGTATGAAAAAGTAAGCGTGGCATTTGCTCCAAACCTTTTGGATTATGGATGCAGTTTTCCATTTTTCCCCACCTGTGCATTTTCTAGTTCTTTGTTATTTTGTCATGTTGCATTTGAGTTGGAAAGGAAAGGCCCTCAAATCTGAAAATTTAATCAATCAATCAGTTCAATCAAATCAATTTCAAATATTGCATTCAGAACAGTTTCAGTTTACACAGATTTATGTCTTGCCAAGAATTACTGAAGAACTCCAAGAGCTGAAATTACTCATTGTAGAGTATCACATTTTAATAGTGAGATGTTTGGGAATCAGGGCAAATGTGTCCTTAGGCTAGGTACTTTGCAGCGATTGCTTCCCTGCTAGGCTGGTGTCGGTGGTTGATTAAACCTTGGTCTTGGCAAAGGAGTGTTGGCTGGCAGCCTCAACCTCTCCTTCAAGAGATGAGTTATTAGAAGGAATACAATCATGCTTGAAGGCTTCACCGTCGTCCCTCTCAGACCACATTATCCAGTTTTACAGTACAAAGAAATTTTCACTTTTTGGCTGCTTTTGCGCTATTCAAATAGATGAAGTCATTGCATGCAGAAAAGTCTGTGCACAGTTCCCACCCGCTCTACTTGACGATAGCCAAGCTGGTGATAAAAATCACCGAGGCTAACAGCGACATTCCCGAGATTCGAGATCGCACCTGGACCATACACATCATAGACAAGGACGTCAAGAATGCATTTGTCCTGCCAGTGAGTAGCTGTCAGAAAAATCATGTCGTTTCTTGTGAAATTGGTCATAAAGTCCTATGATTAAAATGCTCCAGCAAATGTCATTCAATACCATATATTGACCAAAACAGTAACAAGCCATCAAGTTTCACTAATTTTGTCGGTGTTGCAGAATGGGGAAATTTTTGTCTTTGCCGGTATCCTGAAAGCAGTGACCAATGAAGACCAGTTGGGAGCCGTACTGGCACATGAGATAGCCCATGTTGTACTCAATCATGCGGTAAGTTGCTAGACTCCGTGTGACTGAATGATGCAATGCCAAAAGCCAGTATTTTAAACAGAAATGGAAAGACAGAAATTCCGTGGCATTGTCAGTCACAGTTTTCATGATCATGTGTACTGAAAACTTCCCACAGAAAAAAGTAAACGATTAAAAATTATATTGTCAACCCCAACTCACCTCCAAAATCCACCAAGGGGTCATGTTTGTTGGAATTATTGGTTGTCATTTTCATTTTGTCAGAAATTGTCATTAGATAGGAATGTGCCCAACCTGTGTACAAAGACAATGCGGGGCTCCATTTTGTTTCTGACCTGTTGCATGTTGTCCATTTGTATTGTGATTTACGCAGGCAGAGCAGGTCAGCTTCACCCAGTTTGTGGACGTACTCCTTATCGTTGTTCTTGCTGCCCTGTGGGCTTTCCTCCCCAGTGATGGGTTAGCCGTCGTAGCCACCTGGTTCAAAAGCAAAGTTGTAGAGGTAAAAGGCAAAAATGAAGAAATTCAAAATGAACAAACGACATCTATGTGAGAGGGATTTTGAACTTTCGTCCAGGAAGAAAGGAGCATCCCAGTATCGGCATGGCTTTGGGAATGAATTGTGGAAAAATGAGATCGCTTTATGTCAGCCAAGTTTTGAATGGATTTTGAGCTTACAAACGTCAAACTCACTAAGGAGAGGCAGAGAGTGGAAATTTAAGTCAGTGACGTGCGCAAGTGTAAGGTGGGTCAACTTCTGTTAAATAAGTTTGCATTATCTGATCAATTCCAGCTGCTACTTGAAATGCCCTACAGCCGTAGTCTGGAGACAGAAGCGGATCGAGTGGGTCTCATACTTGCTGCTAAGGTAGGCACAGGGTACCACACCCCTATCCTTCTCACCACACACCCACCCACCCCACCCTCCTGCACCCTCCCCCATTACTTCCTCCCTCTCGTCTCCCTTCAGGAAGACATTCTTAAGTATGATCTACCTTTCGGAGGCCCCATTTTGAATTGATCCCTTTAACCTTGTTCTCTTACCCAAGAGCTGTTTTGACGTTCGAGAGTGCAAAGCCTTCTGGGAGCTCATGGCCCTGCGGAGTGACGCCGGCGAGGAAGACACTGTAGACATTGAATGGTTGAGTACGCACCCTACCCACCAGAACAGAGCTGACAGTCTGGGTGCGCACATGCCCGAGGTAAGTCAACCGAGGGAAGGAGTGCAGTCTTATTATAAATACTGTAATTGGCACTGAAGGGCACGTTCATGACAGCTGAGAGCAAGTTTGAGCACAGACCATTTGTTGATCACCGGGTTGATTTTCCCTGGTGACTTCTGCACAAAAATTGCCCAGGATGCCAGGCAAAATCGGCAAATGATTAACAAAATGTTTGCGTTCATACTTGTCCTTATGCATAAGGCATTTTTTACATATGCATGTGCAAATGGTGCGGCTCTGCCTGGCCCCATGTTGAGGGGACAACTGCTTTGTGGTGTTTGTGATTGCAATGTTTATCACAGAGGCATAGCTGTACACAGAAGCCAAACATGATCTGTATTTGGCCTACCTGTGAATAGGGATCATCAGAAATGGTCTGTGGACAGGTATTAAAGGGTATGTTTGCAGCTTGGAAAAGCTGTCCGTTTTGCATGGCTGTCTCAAAAAACATATGAAGAATATTTTGATGTGAAACGCTCATTGCTTACTGTGTGTCAGGTAAAATAACCATGCAAACCTGTTTTTTTTCCTGCATTTTTCCTGCAGTGAAATACGCATCCCGTAAATGCACTATGTTGTATGATCCTCAATACCAAATAAAAAATTCATGTGCAGTGTGCTATGCTCTTCAAATTCCAGGGCCATCTTGCTCATTAGCCTTAAGGAGTCCAACCAATTCATGTGACTTGCTCTTGGCCAATCAGAAGACTGGATTTACGTGGTAGATGATCTGATGAGATTTTGTCTTCCTCTCCTCCCCCCCACTTTCCAACGGTGACAGGTTTTGAAACTGAGGGAAGAGTGCAAGTGCCCGCCATTGCCGGCCGTGGATCCGTCGGCGGTTGTCGCCAAGCAGCGGCAGATTCTCCTGGAGAAGCAGGAGAGACGAAGGAAGGAACCCCCCAGCATCTCAGGAATCCGCATCACATCCTAGAACTCGGAGCCAGGATTCAGTTGGGGCCACATTGTCAAACTTTCAAAGTTTATCCAACCCTGGCATCCCACTAAGCGCCTTCAGGTTTACCTAGCTCATTATCGTCCACTTTTTATTAGCGCACGTTGTTTGCAGCATTCAATCAGTTGTACAATTCCTGTGAGATTGTCAGTACTTTCAGGAAAGAAGGACCTGCAAGATATTATGCAAACATAAGCTCACTATCTCCACAAACTAACACACAAGTGGGTAATTCCAGAAATTAGGGGAGTTCAGAACACATTTTTTAATTTCCTAGAGTGAATTAATGCAAATTACCTGTCAAACAAATAGTAATAGTTTGAAATCAATTCCGATGATATTTCCATCTCAAATAACAAAGGTCAGATGTAACAGGGACACCAAAATGTCACGCTTTTGGACCCCTAATTTCTGGAGTTAACCACGCACTGGATAATTCTGGTTCCCCTAAGACACAATGGCATGTGTACACATTTCGCGTACTGAAGTGTAAGTTAAAGATATTAGTTGCCAGGAACCAATGCACAAGCATTTTTGTGGATGTACAATTCAGAGAAACTGTTGTAAGAGGTTTGACTCGAATTCACTCCATCCGTGTACAAGTTCTTGTGGAGTGTTGTTGCATTCAGCAAAGCATCTTTCTAACTTTGAAAATAAAGAACAGTTTCAGTTTGTGGAAACGAAATGTCCCCGGTACACAGGCAGGCACTTGTGTGTCAGTAAATAAAGATGAAAGTTACAGGAACTGTAAATTGTCCATGCAAGGTTCACACACAAGCCCCACACTGTTTAAGTTTGTGATGTTGGTGACGATAAATTTCAGGAACTGATTATATTTTGTTCCCAAAAATCGTAAGAACCCTGAAATCTATCATGCATTTTTCAAATGAGAGCAGCTGCTTTTACATAACTTCCATAACCATTTGTCGTGATGTAGAACATCCTTTATACTCTGTCAAATTTTCTTGGAATTCATATTTACAAATGTAAGCAAAGTTTGCAGTGCTTGTAATCTTTTTACAAGTTTCCTTGTACGTGGTTACATCTCTTTCTAATCAAACAAGATGTTACAGATCATGAAATAAAATTCACGGTAAATTTTATTTGTTCCTGGAGAAATATCGCAAATAAATGGTTTTTGACATTTTTACATATTGCTTTTTGAATGATCATCAGGTATTGAGAGGATAAATTTAATTAATAAATTATTTATGACGTCATAAACCTTTAATTTGTTCATTGTGGCAGTTTTGCTTGGAGAGGTTGGATAACGTGCCTCAAACTAAATCCTGCGGATGGGGTGTACATCCCCTCACTTTTTGACCGGAAAGATGGGCTATTGAATCATCTGCCAACATTTTTTCGTGGTGAGGAAAAGGACAGATTGTGAAGAATTTTTTGGATTTCCCAACAACCAAAATGTATTCAATAGCTCTCGAAAAAGGATAGGACAATAAAAAGCCATAAATATGCCATTCTGATGTAAGTCTTCCTGAATGTGATACATATTTAAGATGTACACGTACATCTGTATCACGACCATGACTGGATTTGTGCAACCTTTGTACCCCAGTTGTACCCAAGAACACAACCAAGAAGAGCTTGCTGCCCCATGGTCCGCAGCCCCTCAGTGACCTGAAGACCAATGCAGCGATCAAATTTCAACCCAGATACTGGAGTATTCCTTTACTTGATTGTTGACGGTGTTCGATTTTGTGACCTAAGTAAACCATTGTGGGTTTGTTGCAGGAAACAGCAGGAATCGCAAAACAATGTGCACCAAACTGTAAAAGACCTGTACAATTTATTTCAAAAATCTAACGGATCCTACAGTAATCTCTGTTTTCAAGCAAAATTTATGACTTCCAAAAATTCTATTCTGAATTCTATCTCTAAACATTTGCTTTAATTGCTTTACTCAAGCAGTGCCATTTGAAAAATTTCACAATTAATGCAAACAATTGCAAATAAAAGCTCATATCTTACGAAAGATAAGAAATGAACACAAGCAGCATTTATGCATTGTGGCTTAAAAGGGTGGCACACACTGTGTAAAAATGCCTTTTTAGCTCTACTTTAAAATCTAAGGCCGTGTCCGAAACGGACTTCCAGAGCTACGGCTAGGTCCATTGTCTACGCGTCTCCGCACATTTCTAATGGAGGGAAGACGTAGACCTAGCCAACAGATTCAGATGCAGCCTAAAATTAAAGATATTGTGCTTTGAAAAAATGCCACCGTTCACCGACCACCCACATTGTGGGCAGAAATTAAATTTACTTCAGATATGGTAATAAAAACATGTATTATAAAGTATGTTGGTAGAGCACCGGTATGGTGTTCCGGAGGTTGCAGGCTCAAATCCCGCTCCAGACAATTTCTTTGTTCATCTGTATAATTAATAATTAAGCACCTCCTCAGTTTCCCTATACAGTTCAATGATTTTATTAATAAGTATTTACAACTTGTTACATCACATCCTACTTTAAAAGGTGACTGCATTTCAACGATGCGGATTTTGAGACAGGGAGAACACCAAAATTATAATACATCACACGTCAGTCTTAGAGACATACATTCAAGCTTCAGTCGGTTCTAAAAAATGGCTCAGGTGTCAGAACCCCCCTGATCTGAATTTGAAGTTAAATACATCACTTTGGGGGAAAAAAAATATTTCAGCTTTACAAAACTAAAATAAATGGCAGGTGGAGAACCATCACTTCCTTCTGTGCTTTCTGGCGCGGTGTAGGCCGCCTAGGCTGGGGTGGAGAAGTCGGACAGTTTCTTTGGGCAGGCTGGTCATCGGGACGGCCCGTTGGGCCTCCCTGTGGACATCGCACTCGCTTACCCAGGAATCCGGGATGCTGCAATGTGAACAACACATCAAAAGTCGAGTGAAGAACGGAAATCTCTTTCCCAGTAAATCTAGGGTTGTGACAACAGAGTTTCAAATTGAAAAACTGTTGTTTAAAGGAATTTCCTAAAATCAAATGTGATTTCTTCAAGGCGGTTAATTGATATGACTTAACTTGTTGCAAACCTAGATATTCAAAACTATGGTTGGATTTCATTTTGCAAAATCTGGGAAAGTTTGAGCAGGCACCTACATGTTCTCCGGTGTCCAATGCAACAGAACCTTGACTTCGTCGTCGTGATCAACTCGCCTCCCAACCACCTGAAATAATGATAGCCAAAGAAATAAATCACCACAATAAAAACGATAAAAACCAAAGCAAGATCGATAATTTTGTTAACATCCCTGCATATCTTTTCTGAAGGATGTCTTTAGTAACAACCAAACTAACCACAGGTTTGAAGTACCCACTGACTGGCAGATCAAGGCCAGTAATTTTAACATCAGTCTGGCATTATCAATACCACTACAAGCCAGGTGGTCTCGGGCACATCCCTGTGAGTTACTCAGAAATTTTCGTAAAAAAACAAGCTGCGCAACCTTAACTCTCTTTGAATTAAAGATACATGTCCAATCAGGTGTATTACATAACTTTCAAGACAGTAAATTGAGAGTTACTTTTAAATTGAGAGTAATTTAAACAGAGTAATTTAAACAAAACAGTTGGTACGTAATCACTTTTGCGACAGCATTGGTCTTGTAACTTTGTGTTCTAGTCCAGTAAATTTTCTGAGGTACTGGCCCTCCAGTCCAATGTTCTTTTTTAATGAAAGTTGACCCCTGCTAAACTAAGAGCCAGTGTTGAATTCGAGTCCATCACAAGTCCCTTCACAAGGCCAGTCATAAGTAACAGGGTGAACAATGACAAAGGAATGCTTCTGTCACAGCTCATTTGAACAGCTTGTGAATTGGCTCAGGTCTGAATGACTTGTGACTTACAGGGACTGGCAGGGACTTATGATGGACTCAAATACAACACTGCTAAGGGCATTAATAACATAAGCATCTCAAGAAGTGCTACTTGACACAAGGAGCTGATTTCAAGCCAACACCCAGCTTTGCCCTCCTCGCTAAAGTCACATCAAAGTTTCCAGCCCAAGGACGTCATTCCACAACAGGGACACCCGTTGTCCTCACCTTACTGTGAAAGAGAATGTTCTTCCCCTGCCCCGCTGTGTCAATCTGGGTAGAGGTGTTCATCGCTACCAGCTGGTGGTGAAGTCTGTCCATGATGCAGGTATCAAAGAAGTCGTCTGTCTTAGCTAGAGAGTTATAATTGAGATCAATGTGACAATACATGTAGTTGGCATATGTAACATGTCATTGGCTTCTTAATGGCTTCTTAAGCTGTGTGACATGGGCCCATTTCTCTACTCCAATCAAAAAGTGATTTGGATATTTCTACTCTGTACATGACTAGGAACGGTTCTCATTTTACATTTTACAAAATTTCCTCCCTCACTTGAATCTGTTAATTCAAAAAAAAAAGGAGAAGCTAAACTCTGCTGAGTCTAACAGCATCCCATCTGTCTTCTAAAATCCATCTTCTAAAATCTCTTTGACCTAACAAGGTCTTGTGTTGAACATTTTCTGTTGATCTCAGCACATAGCCATACACTCTAGCCACATCTAAATCAACTGGCTACAACTAGAAGTGACACCTGCATCTATTGGAAGAGTAGCTACAGCTACTAGCCAATGCCTTCCATAAGCTCTGGTGATATTTCCAGTCAGAGCCACAACTCTAAGAGAGATGAGGCATCTTCAGCAAAGTGGATTGTGTTTACTTTAATGGCCAAAGAATAAAACTGTCTCAGAGTAGTATTTAACCTTATCGCCTCTGAAACCCAGGGCACTGTGTAACCAACCAACCCAACTGACCCCATTCATGCTGTGTGTTGGCAATGTTTCAAACTGTCAAATTTGTTGCCGACTCCACAAACTGTTACTTGATGGTGCTTATGCATACCCCTCTCACATCAGATTCAAAGAACTGCGTAAGACTAGTTTTTACAAACAGTAACTGAGAGCATTGCTTAAGCACATTCAGTGCATTGTTGTGTTTATGAAATGACAACTTTCCTCCATTGCCAAAGTTAAAAAAGGTTTCCAAGAACACTTTTTTTCATCATCCTTCTTAATCTATTGAAATTGATTGAGTTCATACATACAAAACCATTTAAAGTGTTTTTCTTTGAAATGAGAAACACGTCAGTGTTTGCAATACGCTTGCAAACACAGGTTTCAATTTGTGAAACCAAATCTATTAATTATGCAGTTTTCACAAAGTGTCTTTGCACAATAAATGTATTTCAGTTCATAACAACGATGACAAAGTATTTGGTTTAGGTTCACACATACTATGCAGTGATGCACTGCAACTCAAGTCAACACGCTTGAAATACTGAAACGAACTTGGCTGCAAAGCTCGGGAAAGGGTGGGGGAAGGTACCTCTTGCGCAATTTACCTTGCGAGACTCGCCGCTTGAATTTAAGCCTCTTCTTCTTCATGAGTCGGCCGGGGCTGTCCTCCTTGCTGCGGGGCGTCTTCTGGGAGGCCTGCTCACTCAGGTGGGTCTGGACGTGGCGCAGCAGCCCGCCTTCCGTCGGGAAGCTCATGGTGCAGCCGGCCAGGATGCAGCGGAACGGCCGGTCGCCGCAGTGGAGCAGGACGTGCTTGAAGAGCCAGGAGCGGGAGCTGGAGGGAGTGTTGAAGCATTTACAGCCATCCCAGAGGCAAACATACTTCTTGACGCCTTTGTCCACCTGGTGAAATAAACAACCCACACAAAAATATCAGTCAGAGCTTTTAGATGTACAAAAAAGGGCCTCAAAACCTGCACTATAGAGACCTCATGTGCTCTCCGGTCCACACAAAGGATAACTTCAACTACACCACCGTTCCCAGGGCAGTCAGAACAATTCCAACTACAGTGCTGCAGGGCCAGCCCAAAGTCATCCTGCAGAACTTACGGTTGGGATCGTCTGATGCAACGGCAGAGCACTATCATCACTTTGTTTTACCTGTTTCTGAGCATGCTCGATCCTGACGTGGTCGGCCAGATCGGCGCTGGTTTCGAACTGAATATTGCACGATTCCCAGCGGCAGATGTAACTGACGACCTTCTTCTGAGAGGTGGGCGTGGTGCATCCAGAGCCGCTGGGCTGGTTGGACGTCAGTGAGGAATCACTGCCACTGTTACTACCAGGCATTCTGGGTTTATTGCTAATCAGCCTTGAGTACAAAAAATGACCGTTACTCCAAATCATTACATAGTGGATGTTCATTGGTTGGGAACTAACTGACACATGCTTTACAAATTCAATCATGTCAAGTGTGATTATTGATTAGACTTTGGATTCCTCTGCTTAGTTATTTCAAAGTGTATAAAAAGCTAATGTTATGTTGAATTATGCAAATAAGACAAGTAAAAAAATAGAACCTGCTGTTTGCGTTTGACTGTTTGTACTTGAACGTCAATGACTGATTTGTACTGGAGTGAGTGACAGTGCAAAACACAAAACTAAACAAAGATTAATATATTTATCTTGTTCATAGTCTTTTCATTTTCCGTCGGGCAAAAGACACCATGGATACAGAAGTGTACAGCGGGAGGGAGCTTGGCCATCGGCCGGACATATGACTTAATGCCACTGCCAATAACCAGTTAACTACCAGTTTGGAAAATGATGTTTTACGTCTCCGTTACCATGCCATTACGATGTCACTTCATATGTTTAACGACAGCAAAGTTAAATGCGAAAAAACATGTACTTTCAATTACCTTGTTCCTTGATCTCCAGCTCATCGCGGCCACCGCGGAACTCCGGCATTTACACCAGTGGTGGCGGCGGAGTTCGAGTTAAACGTTTACATATGTTCTTTGTTCCAGGTTTTACATGAAATAGTCGTCGTTAGCATTGTTAGCTTATTCCAATTACTTAATGGGGAGGTATGGAAAACCTGTAGGGTAAATTTCTGGGTTTAACAGCAGAAAATGCAACGATTTCTATTTTTTTGTCAAGTTCAAGTATATTTTTAGTATACTTTTGGTGATTCTTTTGAATAAATCCGTGCTGATGGGTGATCTGTGTGATACATTAAAAGCTGTAGTAGTCGGAATTACCGTGTCATAATGAAACAATCCAAATTGCGAGATTCCCTAAGCGAATTAATGATTATTTCTCTGAGTCAAGGAAGGAGGCCCGTCTATTGTGAAGGACATAGCCCTGTCCTAATTTGGAAGCCAGTGGTCGGTTGATTCCCTTAAGTTTGTGTATTATTGCCAACCGTAGCCAAGTAATTTGAACAAAGCCGAAGTTGATGCTATTTAAAGATAAATCGACTGGTCTCCGTTCTAATGTGTATATTCGTAGTTCAAAGGACATTGTGGGGACTGGGAACTAGCCTGAATGATTATACGTGCATGCACACGTGCGCCAAATTGTCTTACTCAGGGAGGGGACTGTCGGCTAGACACCGAACAGGGAATAGATGTGAACTTTTGGTATATTGTTGTTTATACTTTACTTTATCAAAGAGGGCTTGCATTTTTAATCTAGAGTTAGTGGGACGGAAATTTACAACCGAACAAGGGGTCTGCAAAATTGTATTAAAAGAAAAATCCCATTTGAAATTACAATCTTCAAATTGGACGTGATGGATGCCTGACTAAACATTGCAACAGTCATGACATCACATCAGTCAACAGTGATGAAGGCCTGGGCCTATGTGGACTTGATGCGAAGGATTTCATATACAGACATCACTGATGTGTTTTTCCCTGAAGTGGAAAGTACAGGGGTTATTGTTTTTTGTGATGCTTAACCATGCTTAATACCTCCTTACACTTTAGAGGATAAATCTTCTCTTTTTCAGAAGTGTAGAGAAATTTGTACGTGCATGTACAAAGTGTGGAAAGTACACCATGTCAGCTTTCAGGAACAAGATTGCCAACAAGCGAATGCAGAGTGTGACCTTCTCATCCTATAGCAGTGCCGAGCTTTGTCATCTCAGTGTCAAGGAGGTCACAAACCCACGGTCATTTGACGAGTTGGGCCATGCTACCAGCGGTGGACTCTATGATCCAGTGTTTGGTAGGTTTCAGATTGTTGCATGGGCATCTTTTTTTCACTGAGGTCTGTCCCAAGTCGGTATGGCTCATCTGGCCGTTGTGTGTCTCCTGTTTCTTTGACCTGAAATTCCCAAGGGCATTCAATTCCTGTTGGATGACATACCAGTCAATCGCAGGTTCATCAAGTGCCATGTAAGGTACTTGTTTGCCTGTCTGAATCCTTTAAAAGCCCCTACACCTCCTGGTGGATTCTGATGGATCAGGCCGACGGGGGTGGGCTTTTATCAAATGTTTATGATGCATATTGATCTGTCATTCCTGTGTCGTCTTTTACAGGTCCCAGTGACCGCAATGAACTCTGTGACACCTGTTTCCTCAGCTCCTTGCACTGCCCTGGTCACATGGGCCATATCAGCCTGCCCTTGCCAGTATTCAACCCCCTCTTCTTCAGGCTTGTCTTCCAGGTAGCCCCTCCCCCCAAAAAAAAACTGTCTTAGATTTTGACATTTGAATCATTGTGCTGTTTTACCTGTTCTTCCCGCTGCAGACATGGATGAAAAAGCAAATCATTTGTCTTGATGTCAAGAGATGATGGAATTGTCCATCATTGTGGCAGAAATTCAAAGAACAGTAGTTGTGCATGGACAATACTTCTTAAAAGTACTTCTTCTGTCTGTGTCAAGTCAGGGTATCTAAAACTACTCATGAATAGACTTATCTTACAACCCCAGTTAGAAGCCATTAATTGTGCGCTAGCTATACGCATACTGTCAACTCCTATAAGAAATATTACTAAAATACACCATTTCCTTAAATTGAAGAGCGAGTGCAACATGAGCATTTGTGTGAGGCCAACTCGGATAATGGGTTGCAATAGCACTCAACAGATTAACTCATCCCTTGTCCCCCTTCGGAGTCTCTCTAATACAGCGTCCTGGTGAGTGCAACAAGAATGCAACACAGTTGAGAAGCGAACCCTGCTGAATGCAACAGAATGCGTCAAAACGCAGCATTGCATGCCGTACTGGACAAACACCATCCTGGGCCCTGTCAAGTTATGCATAGGACTCGGCCACTTGTGTTCGCTGCTAAATGCAAAAGTACACTAAGCAAGCTTTTCAGCACTTGTGCACTCTGTTGTATTTAGTGAGGATAAGGTATACATGTAGAAAGATCTCCTGATGATGTGGGCCAACAGGGACATTGCAGTGGTGTGATTTGGCCAGACAGAAGGCTCACAGTGGACAAGTTTTGAGATAACTACTACAAACTGTTAGTCAGACTTCCCTGAATCTCAGTGCACTCTCCAACCTATCTCCTCTTTGCTCCTTGTCTCCGTCACAGCTGCTGAGGGCCACTTGCTTAAAGTGCCACACCCTCCAGCCGCCCCGCTGGACCATGCAGCTGGTCAAGTACCAACTGCGGGCCCTTGATCGTGGTCTGCTGAACCTGATCGATCACATGGCCGACCTGGTGAAACAGACGCTGGCTGAGACAGAGGACAAGGACGTTGTCTTGGCCGACACTGTAGAGACAGCTCTCAGTGACTGCCTGGACGCTGCTCTCAAAGAAGGTACAACAAAGTCCAAGTTCTATCAGTGACCACTTGTTGACTGCCGGGCAATATTTCCATGGTAACCTGTGTACAACATGTATCCGGGGGACCAGGCAATATTGACTAGTGGTTGACTGATTGTCACTGATGAACTTGGCCAAAGTTAGCCCCAACCTCCCAGGCATTCTCGCTGGAAATTTTCCTGAATCCTCCAAAAACCTTTAATGTGCAAAAAGTGGATGGCACATTATATTTACATTTTCAAGGAACATCATGTCCCATGAAAACCAACGGTGGCTGGGCCCTCTCTACCTCAATCCTACAAAATCCTCCAAAAAGTCATGGTTGATTTTGAAGGATCTGGGTTTGCACTAGTTTACCACAAATCTTGGTACTGGTAACGTGGAATTGTTGAATGTTTGATTGGAAATACAACTATTCAAAGACCAAAATATTGACATATCCATGCCGCCAGGACCTGCAAACCAGTGTTGTAGTCAAGCCCTCCAACTCCGAGTCCCTCTGGTTCAAGTCCAAATCCAAGACCAAGTCTGGAACCCAAAATCTGGTCCAAGTCATTCAGTATTAAAACCAAATGTTCTACTGTGAAGCAAATGGCCCGAGTAATGAATAGACATGCCTTGGGCCTGCATATTGCAGAAATTTGGTCCCACATGTAATCAGTAATTGAAAAACAAAGAAGAGGACTGACATTTCCCAGCTTTCATAGTTGTTCCAGGACGTAGTATTTTACAAAAAGTAAATCTCCACATGCTTACAGGGAATAAAAGCTACATAAAGAAACCAAGAAAAGCAGAAAACTTTCATACATGAAATAACAGAGCATGTAGAGTCACATTTCTTGCTGTCAGAGTGTGTTCAGGGAAGCGTTCCTAGGGTTTGAAACAATATTGGAGATACTGTTTGAGTTTTCCATTTGATAATTTGACATTTAAAGGATGCTAAGAATAACGAAACAGTCATTCTTGTGTGGCTTCATGCTGGACTTGTGCGGAGTCCTCAAGTCTCTTGGCCCTATTTCAAGTCCAGTAAACACAAGTCTCTCAGAAAGTGGACTTAAATCATACCACACATAAAATGAAATGGCTTGAATCAATTTGATTTAAATCATTATCATTATTATCATTATTATTTAAATCATCACTGTTTGTCTTGAATGATGCCAGAACAAGACCAGCCATGCCACCTGCCCAAGAGCCGTCACATCCAGGACCGGCGGCGCCAACTGATCCAGGACTTCCTCCAGCAGCACCTCCTGCCCAGGGGCCGCAAGTGCTACCGCTGCGGGGCTCATATGCGGGACATGCGCAGCGAACACAACTCCCGCATCCTGACCAAGACAGGAGAGAAGAAGACCACACTGCTGACGGTCTTCATTTCGCCGCAGGAGGCCCGGACCCACCTGCGCAAGGTCATGAAAAAAGAAGGTGGGTAGAGTTGAAGGCGATGACCGCTTGGTCTGTTCGGCTCCCTCACGCTAGACGGGTGGCTTGGCGTCTTGTGGACACCCTGTGGGCCATTTTGAACATCACGCTTTGTTAGACAAATGCACGTAAAGCTCGAAACCTCAGCAACTTAGCAGCTGTTTTTCACTTCAAGGTACACGTAAACTTGGACAACCAATTCTCAAATGCTGACTGAAAACCTAGCTACCCCCTCCCCAAAAGCCCTTCATTATATTTAAAAGACTTTCTTCTGCATCCGTATACCCCCGAAAAGTGGTCATGCTATTTAGTGTCAAAAAGCATCAACACACTCAAGTAGCGTCAGTAAAGCAAAGAAAAGGAGGCTCTGGCTGGAAATATTTCGCTTGCAACTGTGGTGTTTTTGCATGAAGCCCCTACTTAATGCCTTCAACAGTCACGTGTGTAGTTTCAAGCCGTAGCCAAGTCAGTCGGACACAGTCATATATATTCCAGCTTGGCCACTTTTCCTGGAATCTATCAACAAACTCATTGTGCAGTCGCACCTTGCCTTTTTGTGGCACAGAATTTGCGGATGTGCAGACCTTTATCATGAAATCAGCCGTTGTTGTCTGTACCCCAGGATCTATACTCAGATGTCTCTTTGGCATGCTAAAGGCCGTGGAGTTTGATGGAGACAAGGAGAACTCTGAAGCCACGGAGGAGACCACTGATGAAATCCTCTGCCTCACGGAAGATGCCATGGATGAGGCTGAGGGGGGCGAGCAGACCGATGAGGTGGAAGAGCGATCGGCCGCAGATCTGTTCTTTCTCGATGTCATCCCAGTGATACCCTCCAAGTTTAGACCGGTGAGTTCTGTCTGTCTTGGATGTAAGGCTAAAGATTGCCTGACCACTCTCTCCTCTGATCTACTTCGCTTGATTAACAGCTCTGCTCTCCGCCATGAACTCCTCATTGAAGGGATGCAGTCATAGATCAGTGTTCAGTTGCAGCACAGTACAAATGCCAACAGCTTCACTTTATTGAGGAATACCAGCCTCCTGCGGTGATCTTTTGATCTTTCCATTTCTCCCTCAACTTTGCCTTGGGGAAATAAAATGCCCAGCTGGTCACCTCAAGAGGCTGTTTGCACCGTACCAGGCATTTAAATTTTCAAACTAATGCCAGATGACCTGTGTTTCGGTTTGCACAGATTACCGGTGTGATGGAGAAGAAATTTGACAACCCCCAGACGGCCAACTTGGCCAAAGTGCTGAAGGACTGTCAGACACTGAGGGTACTGCTACGGATAATGGGCCGACAGGGGGAGGAGAGGCAGCAAGGGGAAGAGCAACAACAGGGGGAGGAGGGCAGCAAGACCAAAGAGCAGGAGGAAAATGACAAGGTAGACAAATGTATGCTTAATGTTATTGCTATTTGTAACTTGGTTCAGTGGTTTGCAGTTTTTCTAAACCTGAAGTCTCCTGTTTTTTTCAAGTCCAGCACAAGGATTTCAAGGATTTTGCAGGATAGAGGAAAACAGAAAAACAGGAAAACCAGCCACTATCAAGCTACAAAATGCACCGTTGATTTTTCTTAACATTGGCAGATTTTAGAAGATTAGGAACGTTCTTGGCAAAAATGTCCAGGAATTAGGGTTAATATACCTAAAATATAATGACATCGTGCTTATGCACAGTATGCTTTGTTTAACCCTAACAGCCCCCATCCTCCGATTTCAATAGGATTAATAATCTTGGGGGTGGGGATGGGTAGGGTTAAGGGGCCTGGGGGCTTGTAAGATCTTGGCCTACCTTACTGTCAGATGGAAGCATACATGCAAACGAATCATCATGGTCTAAGTCTATTAAAGAAGGGGACATTCTCGTTGGTCTCCTGCAGATCTGTTTGTCATGCAATAATAGTCTTCACAAACTTGCGTTGCCCTGGAAAAACAGGGCAATGACACCAAACATTTCAAGTGTTGTAGCGTTTCACCCAATAAAGGAGGGTGAGGACTTTTCCCCAAGTCCTTTCAATAAAGGACTTTCCCCAAGGTTACCATTGCTCAAACCTATCTTTATAAAAATTTGCCCTCTGGAATAAATTAGATGTAACAGTGACCGTGTTCATGGAATTGTTGTTATTGTTATCTTTGCAGAGTATATTGGCGTCCATCCCAGGCAAGACCAATGCGGAGAAGCTGCAGAATGCCTGGGTGACGCTGCAGACCCATGTCAACACGGTCGTGGACAGCAACCTTGACAAGCTGTCACGTGACAAGCAGCCAGGAATCAAACAGGTAAAAGTGCCCAGCTCAGGGCCGGAGTTTAAGTCAAGGAGTTGGCCGCAGTTGGAAAAAATGCTGAGATTAAAACTGGCAATGAGCTGTAAGTTCATTGAAAAAAGTTCATATATTCGTCTCCCAAATGTGCCATTTTATATTTCGTGTGCGCATCAATGCATAGTGCAAAGCACAATGTATGCAGTGGCACCATTATAGAATGTGTAATGTTGTGCATTAGAATTGTCAGTAAATATTCTTTAAGAAACTAGGTCTCTGATCAAGAGGGCTACTGGTCATTGTTTTACAGTAGACTTTTTTTCCCATATCATGAGGTGTAAATATTAAACAGAACTGGGTTGGCTCATTAGCGTGATGCTGTACGCAATGGGGTATTTTTTTTTTTCAAAAAACTGTGTTCCTGAGGAGGACACTTTGCCTTGGTCATCTCTTTCCACCAAGGAGTGATTGAACGCTGGCGAGGGCAAAGGTTCCAGGTAATTTGGAGTCTTGCAGTTCATCATCAGCGGCTGACTGCTTTTTTATCCACAAAGACTAAACAATAATCCTATAGTGTGTTATACACCGGTAACCAGTGTTGTATTCGAGTCATTCAAGTCCCTGTAAGTCCATCACAAGTCAGTCAGTCGTAGCTATTCAAATGATCTGTGATAAAAGTATTCCTTTGTCATTGGTCACCCTGTTACTTATGACTGGACTTGTGAAGGGACTTGTGAAGGGACTTGTGATGGACTCAAATACAACACTTTCAGTTACCCTCACTTTGCTTCATAGCAGAAGCATTTATTGGAATTGGAATGATTATTGCACTGGAAATTGATGTTGGATCTTGCTTTTTTCAGCTGTTGGAGAAAAAAGAAGGCCTATTCCGTAAGCACATGATGGGCAAGCGTGTCAACTACGCCGCTCGCTCTGTCATCTCTCCGGACCCTTACATCAACACCGACGAGATCGGTATCCCGGAGATCATTGCCAAGAAGCTGTCCTATCCCCAGCCGGTCACCGACTGGAACGTGCGGGAGCTGAGGGAAGCAGTGATGAACGGACCCAATGAGCACCCTGGGTAAAATTAAGGTCTTCTTTTTTTCCATGGAGAGAAAAATTATTTGCAGGAAAGAGTCTTGTACATCTTTGTTCCCTAACCACCTAGACTGGCCTGAACCCTTGCTACAACCACGACAACTCTTTGTTAGATTTATCATTGTCAGAAAAGTAATCTTCTGAGAAAAACCGTTGATGTGTAGTTCCATGTCAAACGCTGAAAAGATACTATCTTTAGAATAAGGTGTCTGTTTGACTACTTTATGAAGAATCAGCATGGTAAATCTTGACTTTTTTGGGCAATCATTTTAGGGCATCAAATTCTGTTAACCTTCAGTATTTTTAACTTCATAGCTTTGATTTTTGTGGTACATATTATATAATTCTTTGGATGTGGGTGACGATCTCACATTTTTTGCTGGATTGTCACCTTGCTATGCAGGGCCTTGCTGATAGAGAACGGAGACGGCAGTCAGATGAGACTGAGCGCTTGGAATCACTCCCAGCGAGAGGCGGCTGCTAAACAGCTCCTGGTCCCCAAGAACATTCACCACGGACCCAACTGGCAGAAGAAGGTATGTTTGGTGAGAAAAACAAACCTTGAATTGTTTGTTCCTGCGGTCAGCAGGTACCAGAGTATTGGATGTCAGTAGGAATTTGAACACTTATAGTATGCTCACCGTCCAATGTTAGATTGAGCACAAGCCACTGAACATTGAGCCAATCAATGTTGGTACCAAAGACCTGAAGTCTCCAAGGATCTTGTCTTACGAGGCTGGACATTTTCACCATCAAAGCGTTGCTCACGCTGCCAGCAAGCAGCCACCGACCTCAGCATATCTACCTACACGACATGGCCTGTTTTCAAAAACTGTCCTGAACACGACCGTTGGGACGGCCAGAATACTTAGATGACTGTGTATAGCGTACCGAAGAGTGGCGTCATTTGGAACCAGGACGTGTAGTGCAGATGAATGCAGCACGTGTGTGTGATGGTTCACGCGCTAGTTCTTGCGCTAATGCATGTTTATACACACAATCGTGCGCATGACGTATTCACTCCGGCACTCTATCAAGACCATAGTGTTTTCTGTATTTGATTCGTGACTCTTGTCTGTTGTTTGTTATTTAGGTTCACAGGCACATACGAACAGGAGATATTGTGCTGCTGAATCGCCAGCCCACACTGCACAAGCCCAGTATTATGGCTCATAAGGTATTGCCTCAAGCCCACATTTAAAGTTACGGTTTGAAAGTAAACTTCATCTGAGGTTCTTTAAACCTAAAAGAGCACATTTTCATTTTGTTCTAGTCGGAAAAAGTTGCAGTTGCTAACCTTTCACATTTTGAGAATCTCACGGACTATCTTCAGTTTGATTTGATGTCTTTTTAAATGTTCTAGTAGTTTGCACCCGGTGTCTTATCAGGGTGAGTTGCTACACAATCAAAACTGACGTACAATCTTGGAATTGTCATTCCCTGTTTAGTGTTCATTACATCGTGCAAAGGTTTGCCTCGTATCCAAGTCCATACACATGCTGTCAATGGTGGGTATGTTGGAATGAACACTATCTCAAGTTGGCTCTGTGATTTCTTCACAGGTCCGTGTGTTGCCCGGCGAAAAGACGCTGCGTCTGCACTACTCAGCCTGCAAGACTTACAACGCAGATTTTGATGGAGACGAGATGAACGTGCACTTCCCTCAGAATGAGATCGGCAGGGCTGAGGCATTCACTATTGGTAGATTATTTGGATGAATAGACAGACATTTTTTTCAGTGGGGTGGCGTCTGTGCTGAATACTGCAGCTGTTGGCAGGTCTTGCTATCAGGCATTTTTGAGATGGCACTTTCATGTCACTGTAAATGCAAACCAGACAGGTTTGTCTTTTTCATTTGGCAGCCAATACCAGTGAGCAGTACCTTGTTCCCAAAGATGGCACCCCTCTAGGTGGACTGATCCAAGATCACATGGTGGCAGGGGTGAAGATGACAGTCAGGGGCAGGTTCTTCAACAGGTAGGTACCTCAAAACTTTGACCAACAAGTTTCCTGGAGATGGACTGGTACCTCTCTAGATGGACTGGTTCCCCTCTACTGGGACTGGTACCCCGTTGGGTAGACTAGAACCCCTGTAGGTGAATCAGTATCCCTTTAGGTAGACTGGCATCCCTTAAGGTTGACTGGTACCCTTCTGTATAGACTGTTACCCTGCTGGGTACTGGTGCCCCTCTTACTCATCTAGGTGGAAAGATGCCACTCACGGTACCCCTGTAGGTGGACTGTAGCACCTCTACCTGGACTGACACCCCTCTAGGTGGACTGGTACCCTTCCAGGTGGACTGGTGCCCCTGCAGGTGCACTGGTACTCCTTTCTGTGACAGTTCACCCCCTTTGTTTCCAGAGCTGACTACCAGCAGCTAGTCTTCAGTGCCTTGACGGACCACCCTACGGAGATTCGTCTCCTACCACCATCCATCATGAAGCCCGTCCAGTTGTGGTCCGGCAAGCAGGTGATATCCACACTGCTTCTCAATGTCATCCCTGAGGATTTGCCAGCCATCAACTTCAAGGGCAAGGCCAAGATTGGCAGTAAGGTGGGTCTTCACCACTGATGAAATTCGCCTAGGAAAAAAAGGATGAGAGTTCATCATTCCATTCAGCATCCCCAAAATTTGCCTTAGATTTGGTTTCTTCAGTGAAATTCTCTTTTAAATACATGCGTCGTCTTAAAATTTCCTCCTGCCAAACCCTCATCCGATTTTCTTGTGATTTCTTTTGCTTTCTCTTTAGTCTTGGACCCAGGTGAAGAAGGGACCTCAATTGACTTCCAGCAGGGGCACACCCCTGACAGGGTTATCAATGACAGAGTCTGAGATCATTGTGAGAGGAGGGGAGCTTGTATGCGGGGTACTAGACAAGGCCAACTATGGAAACACCTGCTATGGTTTGGTGCACTGCTGCTTTGAGGTATGCATATATTAATACCAGAGTATTGCTTTCTTGTACCATAGTGCCTTCGGGTTAAGGACTGAAAAGTTCTCATGACCACACTGAGTGTCATAGTATGGTTAACCTCTAAAATGTGCAATGAACATATATTTGAGAATGATTGTAATGAGTTTTCAATGAAAAGTGTTTGAGTTCATTTCATATGAGGAAATATTGGTGTAATTCTCTTTATCAAATACCAATAATGATGATAATTTTTAAACTATTTATAACACTACTGTCAAAATAGATTTGTGGTAAAGTGTTGAAGAAATCTATCAGCAGACCAAATTTGAAGGAAACAGCATTTCTGTTTTTGATTTTAAAGCCAGTCCAATTTCTAACACAGGCTCTCAGAAAGTATACAGTGTGCAGTGCCAATAAAAAACATGTTGACAAAAGACAGAGTTTTTCTTGACGGAAATTCGTTTTGCCGATGGTGATAGCTCTCGGTTATTTGTCCAAAGTTTCCCAACAGTCAAGTGAGGTTGGCTTGTTTATTTTACAGTTGTACGGAGGACAAGTTGCCGGGAAGCTACTGAGTTGCCTTGGGAGGCTGTTCACAACGTTCTTGCAGCAGTTCACTGGCTTCACGCTTGGCGTTCAGGACATCCTTGTCACAGAAAAGGTACAAATGTTTCCCATGGTTCCATCAATTACGACAGGGTTGTACGTACTTAGATTTTGATATATACCATCTGTTTTGAGATAGTTTTCCACCAGGACAGATCCAGAACCAATTTTTTTTTGGGGGGGCCAAAAAATTGGGATTTTTAATGCAACTTTTTTATGGCTGTCTTGAGGCATGAGGCTACCTTTTGGGCTCTTTATAATTTTTACAGACCAAAAAGTACGCCTTTTTCTCATTACTTTTTCAAAGAAATGAAAATGTTGGCGCATTGCTAGGGGAAGGCATGACCTCCTTCGGCCCACTGGATCAACCCATTGTTTTTCAGTGATTGCACTTAGGCCATAAATTTACATCTCCCTGGCGCAAATCCACCTTTGAAATAGTTCTTTGTGGTACCCGCTGCTACATCTAATTCAAACCATCCAGCCGACACCGGCAAGCTTGGTGGTCGAGTTGTCAAAACGTCTGCACTATTAAGCCGGAGGTCGTGGGTTCAAGTCCCACCCGAGTACGCTTGTGGTTTTTCTTACAAGCCATTGGGGGCATACACGGAGTATACAGTGTTAAAATACACGTTGGGCAGGGCAAAATCCGAAATTAATTTACATCTCCCTGGCGCAAATCCATCTTTGAAATGACTATAAATTTCTCATCAAGTATATTCCTGTAAACTCATGTATTTGCCCATAATAGAGAGTTGTCATGTGGTAATCATTTCAGTGACACGTCACCTGCTTTTTATGAAGATGTTCCTCTATTGTTCTATCTCCCTCCCAGGGCAATGCCAAAAGGAGGAAGTTGATCAGCAAGGCCAAAGGCATCGGGCCTGAGGTTGTATCCAATGCTCTGGACGTAGAGGATGCCAGCAACTTAACAGCACTGAAGGAGAGATACGAAGAAGCGCACAGGTTGGTAGAATTCAATAGCCAGTTCTCAGAAATGGATTTCAATTTTGGATATAAGTTCACCGAGCAAAGTATATGTTATTAATATCCATTTTTGACTGAATTTTGTTTGTTTGACTTCTCTGATTTGTTGAGTGAGGATTGTTACCTTGCTACAATGCCAGCAAGTGAGCATGTATCCTTCTTGGTGGAAATATTTGACTTTATTTAAAGTTCAACATTAGAAATATGCCAGACTTTGAAATTTAAGGAACACTTTCATTATGCATTTCACACTATGCACTGAAATGCGCAGACAAGTTGGTGGAGAGTCATGAGAAGGGGCATAGGAACTCTTCAAACCACCATTGTCATCGTCACAGCGCCCTCGTCCAGTCATGCATAAGAGTTTTTACAAGTGATAGGTTGTGTGTAGCTGCTGTGCGCTAACCACCTCCTAGTGTGAACTGTTGCACCTATGAGGCCAATTAAATCTGCCTGCCACACTTCATTTAAACAGGAAATCTGACGACACGGAGTTGCGAGAGATCGATCTGAAGATGAAAGGACAAACAGACAGATTTACTAACGAGATCAGCAACGCCTGCCTATCCAAAGGGCTGGAGAAGGAGTTTCCAGACAACAACCTACAGCTGATGGTGCTGTCGGGGGCCAAGGGGTCTCAGGTAAGTCAGTGTCCGAGCTTTTCACCCAAGGATGTTTATGGAGAACTGGCCAATTACAAAATCGCAAACGAGTACAAGAGAAATAAATCATTTCCGAATGGGTTTAGAATCAGGCAAGCAATTTTTTCTTGTATCAGCTGATTTCCTCATTTTTCACTACTCAAGTGTGCCATTACCAATAACAGAATGCTGTAAAAGTCTGTTGCAGTGTGGATTATTCTGATTTCATGTCCGAATTTCCTAATGCATGCCTGCAGGTTGAATGCTTAGGTGCGCTTGACTTTTTTATTGAAAGTGGCTTTCAAAATCAAATTTTCCAGAAGTTGTTTATTTTGGATACCATAGTTGTATCCTCTACCGTTGATCATGGACCACCATTTTACCGTGTTCTCCGTTACTGTTTGCTTAATAAGATATTGTCATTTGTTCAATCAAGCATTAGTTGGAAAGACAGCCGAAGAAGATTCATTTCTTCAATGTTCTTGCATTTGTAGTGTATAGATGACATAAAGGATTGCATAAGATTTTATATGACTGTGCAAGACTTGACAGGATTGCATAAGACTTTATATGATTGTGCAAGACTTGACAGGATTGCATAAGACTTTATATGATTGTGCAAGACTTGACAGGATTGCATAAGACTTCGGATGAAAATAGGCATCTTTATGTATTGATTTCTCGTGAAAGAAGGTTTTTAGGTTTATTCAATCAGTCTTTCCTTCACCACAAAGACGCTGACCTCATTTTGACCGCACCACTTTGCCCCGCCCCACAGGTCAACTGCATGCAGATCTCCTGCCTGCTGGGCCAGATAGAGCTGGAGGGGCGTCGGCCACCGCTCATGGCCAGTGGGCGGTCCCTGCCGTCCTTCCTGCCCTACGACCCATCCCCGAGAGCCGGCGGATACGTGGATGGGCGGTTCCTGACTGGCATCCGACCGCAGGAGTACTTCTTCCATTGCATGGCCGGCCGAGAGGTGAGGTTGCCGTTGGAATTGCCAAAATGACTCAGGGTCAGAGTTCTGGCCATTACTGTAGACAAGACGCCTCAAGACCAACACAAGACCTCCAGTCTGAATTCAAGTCACAAGCTTTTCAAATGAATTGCAACAAAAGCATTCATTTGTCATTGTTCACCCTGTTACTTGTCACTTGTCATGTGTTTGGTCTTGTGTCTAGTTTCATGACTGATCTTGTTTTAGTTTGGACTCCAACACTGGTTCCAGTTTTCTGATGTTGAATAATATCCATGGCTGTTATAGCTTTCACTTTTTGGTACCTGCTTAATTTTTGAGGCAATGCTAATGTACAGTTTTGTTCTTACCAACTGCTCTTTACGGCCAAAGATGTTAAGTGTTTGCCATTTGGTGAAAGTGATGACTTGTGCAGCTGCACACGTGGGACTTTTTGTTAGCAGACCGTTCATCGCTTCAGAGGGGCACAAAACATATTGTCTTTTTTTGATCACGTCTTCGTGCTCATTGCAGGGACTTGTCGATACGGCAGTCAAGACAAGCAGAAGTGGCTACCTGCAGCGTTGTATCATAAAACATCTGGAGGGCCTCGTCGTGAACTATGACCTCACTGTAAGTTCAACAACAAAGTTGGCCTCCTTGTCGGAGGCAGAGAATTTCTGAAAGGAAAAAATTAGTTGGTGTTGAAATCCATCCATTCCTCATCACTATGTGCTGCAGTTCATTTTTCCTTGGGGAAAGCATGCTTTCAAAGGTCCAAATGAAATATCTACATGAAGACTGTTCTGTCAGATCTTTTGTAACAACAGGACATGCCACAGTACTAACACTGAAAAAAGTGGGTTTTTTATGTTTCCAAGAGACTTGTCCAGCAACTACGTACATGTGTAGTGCTCACATATTGCATTCCTCTTTGATGAGTAGGATGTGGCGACTTGCTAAAATTCAGCATGCATTCTAGTTTAACTATTCATATGGCGTGGCCATGGTAATGGTATCCCTTGAGACCAGTCTATCGACCCAGGTGGATTGAATGCTTTCCTCCGTTTGCCTCTCGACTGGTTCGCAGGTCCGAGACAGCGACAGCAGCGTGATTCAGTTCCGCTACGGAGGGGACGGACTGGAAATCCCCAAGACCCCCTTCCTGACGGAGTCCCAGTTCCCATTCCTGCTGGACAACAGCGCCGCGTCACTGGGCCGAAGGTACAAGGCAGAGGACTGCGACGCAGCGGCAGCCCGCAGACTGCAGAAACAGGTCACTGCCAAGTAGACCACATGCAATCGAATTTTTTCAGCTTAAGGGGGCACCATTCAGTTTTCATTTTGTATGTTTGTAAGATTTTTGTGCGGGAGTCGCGTTGCTACTGTAAACCAAATTTCTTCAGAGAATTGTAGTTTTTAATATTTAGTTATGTGGATGTTCCTTATCTTTGTATTCTCAAACTCTGACATCTGAGTTGAATAAAAATAGGATTTCATTGCCGTTTGAATTTTCTTCTTGATATATAGGTTGACAGATGGGTGAGAAAAAATGGCGCTGTCAGGAGAAAGGAACGGTGTTCGCCATTCCTCAACTTCGCTGCCAAGAAACTGGGCATCCTCCTGGAGGAGAGGAAGGAGAGGGAAGGAGGCGAGGAGAAGAAGAAGACAGTGAGGGAGGAGCTCGTCAGTTGGTGGAGGGAAGCGACCGACAAAGAGAGGTTAGAAGGACAAGAAACAAAAGTGTCTGTCTTGACATGTGCATTTGTTAGCAAATATCTACCCCACTATTGGATCCACTCATGCAGGAAATCATTGCTTGTGAGGAGGGGCCAACTTTGCATATTTCTTGCATTTTAGGTACGGCAAGAATACCTCTCGCTGTCCTGAACCTGTTCACTGCCAACTCCGACCGGACATCCAGTTTGGTGCCATCTCGGAGAAACTCAATGCCATTATGCAGGATTACCTTAGCAACGTCGGGGTGCAACACCTAGAGAAGTACGGGAGCAGTGGGCACGAGGAGGAAGATTTGACACCAAAGGAGAGGTTCCGCCAGTTGTTGTACATGAAGTACCGTCGGTCACTCTGTCAGCCTGGGGAAGCTGTGGGACTGCTCGCTGCACAGGTGGGTGGAAGAATGACATCACTGTCATTGTCACTGTCATTGTTGCTGCCATTGCCAACTAGGTATTGTTGGCATTGATGGTAGCACAGAGATGCAACATAGATCTCTTTTATGTCATTGTTTCAATTCAGGAGCCTGCTTGCCTCCCCATTTGATTGATGTCATTGTCACCAAGGTGTCATCACCATGGATGACTCTGCAGAGATACAATATGCGATGCTGCATTTCAGTGTTGAGCCTGGGGAGGTTGTGAGAGTTCTCACTACAACAGTGGGTGGAGAAATAATGTCATTACCATTGCCGTTGTCACTAAGGTGTCCGTCTCTATGTTGATAATAGTGCAGGGATGTTACATACACTGTATGGATGTCATTGTGCTGGCCTTTAGAGACTGTGGGTTACATGCTGCTCAGCTTTCTACCTTGTATTTGTCACAGTCATCTGTCATTGATATTCTGTTGTCATTCTATTTTTGTTTTCCAGTCTATTGGAGAGCCATCCACCCAGATGACTTTGAACACCTTCCACTTTGCCGGAAGAGGAGAAATGAACGTGACCCTGGGAATTCCGAGACTTGTGTAAGTGGATGGCCTTCATTACTTGCGCCTTCCGCCGTATGTAGAAGCACACCAACGATTGGTAGTTTTTGCAAACGCGGAGCCTTGGAACCAAGTCTCTTTTGATTGGCCAATTGCCATCTGACCCCGCCATTAAAATGGTTCAGATGTTTGTGTTATGTGGTCATTTGCTCCTAGACAGGTGGTATGTACACTTTGTGTGCCTCTTCGACCAGTACGGAGCCGTGAGCTCCCAAATGCGAAGGTGCAAATGCGACTCATCCACTCATGAACTTTCTGACTTCAATATTGTCCAGTGTGATGTGATGCTTATTTGATAGCCGCTGGCTACTAGTAACAAGTTAAGAATGTTGCATTTCCATCCAGGGAGATCCTCATGGTAGCCAGCGCCAACATCAAGACGCCCAGGATGGATGCCCCGCTGCTAGCCACGTCCCACGCCAGGAAGCGGGCAGCCCGGCTCAAGAAGAAACTCACCAGGGTGGTCCTGGCACAGGTACCCTGATCACTAGGCATGAAAATAAAATTGTTTAACAGACGTTAGAGCTTAGCGTTAATCAGCTTGGAACCAATCATGAGAAATTCACATGGCGCGGCATCTTGGCCGGTACCCTGTTACTGCTTGGCAAATGTTTCTGTGTTTAGGAAATCACCGTAGTTACCAGCCCTGTAAAGTTGGCCCCTGTCTCGGCCTATTTTTCTCAGTACAGTCCCTATTGTCATAGTTTCACTTGATTGTCAAACTTATCGATGTTCTTCCCTTGTTTTCTTTGATCTTTTAGGTGATTGAAGATATACATGTCTACGAATCATATGAGATTGTCAGTGCTATGTAAGTACTGTTGGAATCCAGAACTCTCTCTAGAACCAGGTTTATCAATCTCATTAGTGGAAGAAAAATTCTGTCAGAGGTGACCAAATTGATAGTCAGTAACTGGATTGTGACAATGTGACAGTAACTTGTGTTCTCTTTTGTTTCCAGCGAGCAATTCCGACTTTTCAAGATACAAATCAACTTCCTCCCGCACTCTGAGTATAAGGTATGTCTGGGCGCGATCTGGAAACGTTGTTCAAAGACACTATTTAAACTTGCTCTTCTCGAGTCAGTTTCTTATATGAGCACCTAGTTATTTCTTTGTGTAGTTTGTTTAATTAAAACGCAGTATCCCCCTTGAGCAATCCCTGTTCACCACTTCCAAGGCTGCGTCATGTAATTGGGTCAGGATCCCTGGCTATGTGGTGTTTTGGGTTGTATGGCTTCTGACTTGTGTCCCCCGATCAAAGATATCCAAAAATGGGAAGAACCACCATCATAGGGCTGGATAGCTCAGTTGGTGGAGCGCCGGTAAGATGATCTGGAAGTGGCAGGTTCGAATCCCACTGCAGTCAATTTCTTCATTATCTGTGTTACTGAAAAGTACTCCCAAAATTTGCAGAAAATTCATTATTAAATTTTGGCTTCTTTTTTATTGTCCCTATTAGAATAATAAAATAGTCATGCACTCAATATCCAGTGTCAAGGTAGCTAGGTATTTTTAATTTTTTCTCCAGACAAGATATCTCTTCTGACCAGTTCAAGAAAGATTGTGTTCTAATTTCTCTATGCCTGAAATAATCTGTTTATGAGATGCTGAGTTTTAAGACTTTCTGGTTGCTGAACAATGTGTGATAGCAGATTAGACCTGGTCCAAATACACAGACATCATTTTGGAAAAACAAGCATCGGGCGGGCTTTCATTTATGTTTGAATCATTCCCGTATCTTTGGCAGGATGACCTGTACGCAGACCCTACCAGCATCTTGCATTACTTGGAGAAACGGTTCCTCAAACGCCTGAGCGAGACCATTAAACGAAAGACCAGGGACCTGATGAAGCTTCAGTAAGCCTCGATTGCTGATGGCGCCGATGACTAAATCACGCAAACTGTTTCAAAACATTGAATTCTCAAAGGTTCCTCTCAGAACCATGCAAACTGAGATATAGGCAAATTGTGTTTACTACAAATGGCCACTAATGTCTCACCTCATCTTATGCCTTATGTCTTTGAGTAGAGTTCATGTTGCTTTTATCCTTTACCCTAACAGCCATCGATCCCACAACATGTTAAGGATTGGGGAATGTCGGAGTTAACCATTTCATGCAATTATAATCACACATCACAAACAAGTTTTGTATGTGTACTTAGTGCTGTTAACTTAATACCTCAACACCATCCAAAACACCTGTTGTACATATTACAAAAGTAACAGAAGAAATGCTTAGCGGTGGCTTTCTCTTCTACGACGAGTGTCATGATTGTGCCTTTCCACAGCATGGGCTTGTATGTAACGCCTTACCTTTACTACATTTTTGCAAGCTGAGTGGATCTTTGTGCTTTTTGGCGGGGTGGATTGGGAGATGCAGAGTGTAATATTGGGCTCTACACACTCACATACAAAACTGAATCAACAGTTATTGATCGGAGTACCATCTTCCACAGAGGACTAAGGTTGTGAACGAGTAAACGGAGGGCTGTGGGTTCGTCCCACCCGAGCAAGCTTGAGAATTTCTGAGAGTTGTGAAGAAAGCACTGAGTAGAAAATGCTTATAACCAGTCACTTGTGAACCACCAAACCCCATGTTCATTGTTAAGCAAGTTTTTACCGTTGCATTTTGGGATTTTGTTTCTTTTTATCCTGTTATCCAAAGTCTGTCTCCCACCCTCTCCTTCCAGGTTGGTTAACAACCATGATGCCAAGGCAGCTAATGAGAATGCTGCAGGGGATGATTCAGCCAATCAGGACGAGCCACTGGAGCCGGTCGCCATGGAGGCGGAGGAAGACAGTATGTCGGACGATGAGGAAGGGGGGGATGACCAGGAGGAGCGGGAGTATGAAGAGGACGGGGAGGGAGAACAGGAGAACCAGTCCTCAGGTATGGGGTGGGGTGACCCAGTCCACCACTCTATCTGATAAGCCATGTCTGAATTACATTGGCTACGTCTGGGAGTAACATGTTCTCCTGTGGAAGCCATCGGCCACAGTTGCTCCCGACATGGGACACTAGGACAAAGCCATGTCAGAGTCAGAGAGCAGCCAGCTTGATAAAGTCCAAGTGATCCCTAACGTAAAGACAGAATTCGAAAGATTTGTGCACGATGGCACTGTGCCATCTGCCAGCAGACATACTCGACTGCTAGGCCAGTTAGACTATAAAGATGAGGCAAGTTATCAGGTACAGAAAACAGCACAAATACAAAAGCTGTTGAGAATCCAAAGTGTGATAGACTTGCTCGGGGGAGAAAATGTGCTTAACAAATTTTCATACTAACCAGTTATCACCAGAGTACCAGTTGCAAGCAATATACTTAGGTGACTTCTGGCCTGGTAACCCATTTTCGCTGAGCAAAGTATTTCCTGCACTGAGGAAATTTTCCAGTACGGCACCTCCATGAAATTGTCACCAGCTGCTCTGCAGGACAGGTGTTGCATTACTGTGCATTCGTCACTTCGTCTGTGCTTTGTTATGCTAGAAATGTTTGCCTGAGTTTTGCAGGTCAACCTGTCGAATGATGTACGTGCAACATCTCTTGTCGTACTCCCGTAGATGAGGAGGAGGGTGAAGACACCGGTAGTCACGGCGACCGAGGCAGTGCAGAGGATGAGGACACCACTGAGCGAGGCACTGCCCAGGAGGAGGAAGAAGGTGTCTTGAGGAAGAAACGCAAGAAGAGCAGGGGGGTCCCAGACAGCGAGAAGACTGTCAGGATAGACGTGAGTAAAAAGCATGGTGATGCTCTAGAGAGCAGTTTCAAGAGATGACCATTTTGTCGAAAACAAAAAACATCCTTGGGTACCGGGCAAAATCGGCCAGTGGCTAATGAATTGTCATTGCTCAAACTCTTCCAGAGATAGTTCAGCCCAGGAAAACTCGCTGGTTGAGAAATCAAGCATGGGGTGGTGGGTTTGAATCCGGACCGTGCAAGTTTGTAAAAGTTGTGTGTACAGACTCCCAGAAAGCAACATGCTTACAGTTCCTGTCGTGTTTTTCTTCCCATCCGTGAGTAGTTTTCCACACCTCCAGGCACACTTTTTGACATCTTACTTTCTCATGTCCTTGCCAGCCCATTTTTACACATGCTTTGCTCACGAGCCATTGCTTGACAGGCCAGGCTCAATTTCTGGGGGTTTTTTTTGCAAAAGTTCTCGGGAGTTTTTACGATATCAAGAAACAAATTTGTATTCGTTCTACTTGTCACTATTTCAGGATGCTCTACATATCAGTCCATTCCTTGTCTCGTACGACTTTGACAGTGAGAAGCAGAGTTGGTGTGAGTTTACCCTTAAGGTAGGTCTTGGCTTTAGACCAAATGTATTTTGCCTCGTTCCCAGAGCCTCGCCTGTATGTAGCATTTCCATTTACCAAATTTCAGTTTTGACAGTCAGTTTTGTGGCTTTGAAGAGATTTAGGAAGTTTTGATGCCTGAACCAAGTGAACATTTGCAGCAAATATATCTGATACTGTGCCAAGTCTCCTTGGTCAGGTTTTGAAAATCATGAAATTGGAGGCAAAAACAGAGACAAAGCCCAGCTTTGGAAAAAGCCTGTCATGCTTCTCTGCACTATTTTAATAAGAACTGAGTGGAATGATTTTCCAGTGCAATCGTGTTTGGAGGGTATCTCTATTGTAAAAATGTGATGAAAAACATTGCAGAATTCCTCAGTGTTGCCCCTATGCAGTCTGCCCTGAGCAGAAGCACCCCCTCATCGGTTGAAAAGAGCCAGGTTGGTCAAGTTTTCTATTGTTGGTAGCAATGCGACCGCAAGGCTTGCATTTCACAGTTGTTCGTGAATCAGCGATATGCAGTTACTACCAAAGGAGCCTTTGTTGTTAGGGAAATTGCGCCCTCTCTTGCCCAGCTCGGGGCATGTACATTGTGTTATTAAGCAAGGCCATAGGCCCATTCACTGATGACATCACGCTTTGTTTTGTGCACTTTCCTATGGAGCTAGTGTCACCAGTGCAGAATTCTATTGGTAACGAGGGATGCTACCATTTTAGACAGGTTGGTCTCAAACAGTCAAGTAGACCTGTCGAATCCACATTGAGGAGTGTGTGCTACCAATCAGAGGCACTGTTGTCATCAAACCCTTTTAAGACCATCACAAGACCCTGGAAGACACAGATGAGACTTCCGGTCAGAGTTCAAGTAAAAGCTATTCAGATGTACTGCAACAGAAGCATTGTTCTTGTCACTCACCCTGTCCCTTGTATCTGGTCTCGAGTACAAGACACGACTTGGAGCTAGTCACCTTGGCCTGAGCCATAGTTCTCACTCAAACTTACCCGGTGTCGTCACTCCTGTGATTGGTTGCAGCTGGAGCTCGCCTACAGTCACCTGGACATGATGTCGCTGCTGCACAGCGAGACGCAGCAGGCCGTGGTGCATGAGGCACGGGGCATCCTGCGCTGCATCATAGCCGACGGCGACAAGGAAGGAGAGAAGGTGCTACAAACCAGCGGGGTCAACCTACAGGTGAGTCAGGATTGGAATAAAAAACTCCCATGGTGGGTGAGGAAGGGGTCAGTGTACTGGTGGGTCAAGGTTGAAGTAAAAACACATCTAGTAGAGGTGAAAAAAAGACATGGAGTTGTTTTAATTGGAGTCCAAGAGTCCGTGCCATTAGTTTTGAGCAAAACCAGTCCGAGCAGAAAAAGAGTTTCATGAGGGCTTGAAAAGATTTTTTGTGGTTTATAGCAAGCTGGCGTATAGAATGGAGGAATTCAAGTACAAGGCAAATTGTCAAAAGGTTACAACTAACTTGACCTTTACTCACACGATTCTGACTGTCACCAGGCAACATGTGTTTCCTCGCGGTATCTTTCATTCCCCAGGAGCTGTGTAAGCATGACAAGGTCATTGATATTCATCGACTGTACACCAACAACATTCATGCCATGGCCAACACGTACGGGATAGAAGCGGCCTGTAGGGTGATCATCAAGGTACGATCAGTCCGATTTGCTCAAATCAAATCTTCATTTTATAAAATCACTGTCACAGGTATCCAGCTGGTGAAGGATCAGCTTAACAGGCTGTTACGTTCTCTTTGAATTGACGAAAATGAATTCGCTCTGTGGTTCTTCTTTCAAAAAGGTTCTCTCTCTGAAGATTATATGCGACTTCCTTGAGGTATTATGATCTGAGATATCTAACCAGTCCAAGCAGTATACGTTCTCAGAAAAATTCTGATTTGTACAGGACTCACTCCACGGTCTAGACTAACAATTCCCCAATAGCTTTCACAGTTTCCGACTTATCCAAGCCAGGTACACCGGAATCCACAGATAACTTGAGACTGATTTTGCCAGTGTAGGCCACATGTTTACCTCACAGTATTTTCCCGGATTCTCCCTGCAGGAGATCCAGGACGTTTTCAAAGTCTACGGCATCTATGTGGACCCCCGTCATCTGTCTCTTGTCGCAGACTACATGACCCTAGAGGGCACCTACAAGCCCTTCAATCGCATCGGCCTGGAGGCCAACTCGTCCCCGCTGCAGAAGATGAGCTTTGAGAGCACCATGCACTTCCTCAAACAGGCCACCACACAAGGTGAGGCACGCGCACCCTCTCACACTGCCATCATGGCCGCAGTTGTATAATGGACATCACTGTGGTGTAACTTGTGGATAATGTTATTTCAAATCAAAGGACAGTTCATTCTTTCCGCAAATGTGAACGCGAATGCAGTTTGGTGGCACCAGATGAAATTTGCACTCTGCAAATTTGCCCAAGTTTAACCAATTTGCTGCATGCATTTTTGTGATATCAAATTCCCTTTTGAGTTGACATTTTGCTTGAAGTATGAACCCCCCTTTAAGCTGGCTCCAGCAGAACCTCTTGACTTTTTAACGTGACAAGACACCTCGGCTACTTTTCTTGACCGAATACATTTGAGAGTCAATTTTACAAGATAAGTACGACAGTTCTTTTTCGACACTTCAGGGCAATGCTGCGAGACAGTGTTATAACAAGCCATGGGATGTTTGAGTCATGGTGCCATACATGTACGCGGTCAGGCTCCTAGCACTAGTCAGTGTACAAAACTGGTGCGAACCATTGAATTAAAAGTGCATGTGTAAACATTGCCTGCCACTGTGATTTGAAATTGCCAGAATGTGAAGACACGTCTTCCGTATTGCTGTCATGGATAATCATGTTTACTTGTGCAAGTCCTGTGAAGCAAAAGGTTAACCATTTCGTGCCGGGGAGGCCAGTTTCGGGCACATAAGCTTCATACACAAAAATGGGGAGCCCGAAACTGGACAAAAGACCAAGGCCTT